TTCTGGCTACTATGGCATGCCGCCCAAAATTTCGCTACCAGTTCTGTAGTAATCCAATTTTGATCAATTAACAATTGGTTACAGTAGTCCGGGTCTGACTGGCTTTTCATGTCTTTTAAGAGAGGTGTAATATATTTTCCTTGAATCTTGTTATGCCTGTTACATCTGAGCATCATATGCTCAATGGATTTTATCTCACCAGATCCACAAGGGCAGAGTCTCTGTTCCCTCGGGATCTTAAACCTGCCTTCCAGGACTGCTGAAGGAAAGGCCTCACATCTAGCCAAAGTAAAGGCTTTCCTAAACGTATATGTCTCAAGCTGTGATAAATAGGCCATGGGGACCAAGCGATATTTGTGTGTGTCTATCGCTCTAAAATTGGGGCATCTATCTGTCTTTCCATGTCCATTATTCTCTGTTTAAGGGCTGATTTTGCTTCATCCCACTGCATACTCAGTATTGCTTGTGGAGAGAAGCCCATAACTTGCAATTTGTTTAGGACCGCTTTCAACCACTTGAGGATGTGCCACCAGCAAGCGGAAGCCATGGACTCAGTGAAGCGGGGAGCTGAGGTAGCTCTCGAAGAGTGCCAGCACCAATTTCATAATCATCACTGGAATTGTTCTACCCTGCAGGGATTGCAGGTTTTTGGGAAAGTTATTCCACAAAGTCAGTTGGTGAGAAGAAGCCAGTTAGAGGTGGGGCCAGATTTATTATTTTTTAAAAATCTGTTTCCGGGGCTTTCCATCCAAGCTAAAACAATAACCCTGAACTGGGCTTCACCTGATATGAAATCTAAACAAAATAAAAATAGCAACATATGGCAGAACTCCAGAGTCACATAAATCTATAAGAGAAAAGAGAAAGAGAGAGATAGAGATTGAGAGAGAGAAAGGGAGGGAAGGAAGGAGAGAGGGAGAATGAAGGAAAGAGAGTCTTGTGAAAACTTCAACAGATTGATTTTAGCACTAGCTGTCAAAGATTACAACACACTTCCTGGAATGCCTGGAGTACAATATTCAATCCTCAGGAGTGTCTGTGTATACAAATACACAAAGAGAGGGTGTACATGGATGTGGGAGAAGGATCACAGTGAAACGAAAACAGCAACTGTATACAGTATTAACATTGGTCATAAACTTTGAAAGGGATAGTCAACATAAACAGCCTCACAATAAATAAGGCAGTTAAATTCTGATAGTCACAATTCCACTAAGCAATCTATCCCCTTTGAAGTACTAAAAAAAAAAACGAGTTCTGCTTTCAAGAAAATGTTTTGTTTGTAGGGTACCCCTTTGCAATATGCTAAAGTTCTCCATGTAGAGATTGATGGCCACCTTACAGCAGTGCTCATGAGCCATCTTTAGCTCAAGGGTTACACGAGCAGGAGCTTTCTCTTGAGATTTCAGAGACGAACCTCAAATAGAATGCCAAGAGAAGAGGGGGAAGTGAGACTATCTGTTTCCATCTCAGGGGCCACTACATTGATAAATAAATAACACAGGAAATGTTCTGGGATTGGGAAGGTCAGATGGGAATGATTTTTCTGTTGATAGCATTATGTCACTCTGCAAGCTCCTTGAAAAATATGCAGCAATAACTAGAAGCCAGCCCGGGCTTGTCAAGAACAAATCCTGCCAGACCTATCTCATTTTTTATAGGCTAACCTCCCTAGTAGATGGTGGGAATGCTGTAGACATAATATACATTGACTTCAGCAAAGCCTTTGACAAAAGTGCCCCATGATATTTTGATTAGCAAGCTAACTAGGTGTGGACTAGATAGAACAACTGTCGGGTAGATACACAATTGGTTACAGAATCATACTCAGAGACTGCTTATCAGTGGCTCCTTCTAAAACTGGAAGGAGATAACAAATGGGATCAGTCCTGGGCTTGGTGCTCTTCAACATTTTTATTAATGACATGAATGAGGGAGTGCAGGGAATACTTATCAAATTTGCAGATGACACAAAATTGGGTGGAATAACTAATACCCTGGAAGACAGAAAAAAATGCAAAAAGAAATTGATAGCCTTGAGCACTGTGCTGAGAACAACAGAATGAAATTTAACAGAGTTAAGTGCAGATTTCTACACCGGGGGAGGGGGGAAAGTCACAAATGCACAGTTACAAGCTGGGGGATATTTGTCTAGTAATACTACATGTAAAAAGGATAGTGGAATTGTTGCAGATAAAAAACTGAATATCAACCAACAGTGTGATGTGGCTGTAAAAAAAAATGGCAAATTCTACTTTAGGATGCATTAACAGAAGTACTGTATAGTCTCCAAACTCCATAAGGTACTTTATTCAGCACTGATTAGGTCTCATCTAGTATTGTATCAAGTTTTGGACACTACACTTTAAGAAGGATGCTAACAAACTGGAGCAAGTTCAGATGAGAGCAACAAGAATTATCAAGAGACTGGAAACCAAGCCCTAGGAGTAAAGACTGAAAGAACCGGGCATGTTTACCCTCGAGAAAAGAAGACTAAGGGGACATACGATAGCACTTCTCAGATACTTCAAAGGTTGTCATACAGAGGAGGGGCAGGATCTGTTCTTGATCATCCCAGAGTGCAGGATACACAATAATTGGCTCAAGCTACAGGAAGCCAGATTTAGGCAGAATATCAGGAAAACTTCTTAACTGTTAGAGCAGTACAACAACGCAACCAATTACCTCGGGAAGTGGTGAGCATTCCAACACTGGAGACATTCAAGAGAAAATTGGATCGCCTTCTGCCACATTCCTGCCTTGAGCAGGGGGTTGGACTTAATGGCCTTATAGGCCCCTTCCAACTTAATTGTTCTATCACTCCCATTTGTACATCTTCCTTGGAATCCTCATCACCATCACTCTGGGATCTGCCAGTGAGGGTAAGGGTTGCCAGGCTGACACCTCTCATTCCTTAAGATTTCAGGGGCAAAACCTTGGAGAGGTTCTTGTGCTGTGACAGACGTAGGGCAGGCAAGAGTTGGGAGAAAAGCAAGCATAAAATATACAGAAACACCTCTGTGTTAATCCTCTGAGCCCCCGTGCCAGGCTTTAGAGCTACTTTGCAAGCAAGAATCAACTTCCTTCCCCTCTCGTCTTGCTCACCCTGAGATTTGTCTCCCTGTAGAGAGAGACTTTGAGTAGCACTTTGACTTGGTAACCTTGAGGGAGGTTTTGTCTTCCCTGCTGCAGCATTTTCAAGTGTCATGTCTTCCTTTTCTTTGGAGGAGTAAGTGCCAAAAATTAAAGAATATTAGCCTTCACTGACCCAGGTCACTAAAGATCAAGTCTGCCCTTTCATTTGCCTACAACACATACACTCCCTGCAGTTCACATGCTGTTTTTTGATTACACCAGTAGAATGGAATATGGAGAACTGTCTGTCTGTCTGGCGGTCTGTCTCTCTAATGAGATAGGAATAATACACACACATATACATACATAATAAATGTGGATTTCCTGCTGCAGGCACAAGGGAATCAGCCTTTGTCCACGCCATCTCTTCAGCCGGGATCGCTTTTGCTGTGACACGAGCCTGTAGTCCTGGTGAATTGGAGAAGTGTGGGTGTGATTGCAAGGTCAGAGGAGTCAGCCCTGGAGGTAACAAGAAAGAAAGCTGGAGGAAACTTGCAGGCCAGCATTGTCCCGAGGATCAGTATGGATAACATGAGCAGGAAAAAAGAAATCAGGGTTGGAAAGAGAGCCCTCTGGTGTTTTTATTGCTGTTGGGAGCACAGAGATGGCAGGCAGGCTGTTTGCCTTGCTCTGCAACAGAAGGTCAGAGGTAAACTGATAACCTGCATAGATGCTTCTTTCTCAGAGTGTGGGGCACGATGAGGGCATTGATGTAAGAACTGAAATAAAAGGGAGCTGTGTAGTCCATACAAAATAAAATACAAATGCAAGAATAGGCGATACCTTCACAGACCACGAAAAATCATCATAGCATAAGCAAGCTTTTGTGAATCACACACCACATCACCAGGCTTGTACCAGTGAGAAGAACTTACAATCCAAAAGTTCGTGGCCAGATGGATTTCCCCAGGCACGTCTTTTGTAGATGTAAATCAGTGGTTGCTCTTTTAAAGTTACTGTACAGTATAGCCAAGGAAGCTGTGGCTAAACCTAGTGACTTTACTAATTATCACTCCAATTCCCTGATGGAGGGAGGACTCGCGTATTCTGTGTCACCACCACCCAAGCAGAAACATATCCATTCCAAAGACAGGCCTAATGGCAGGTCCATGTGTATGTGAACATGGCCTGTGCTTCTTTGTTTGAATAACTGGAGGGTGACGTCCATCTTCCTTGGAATCCTCATCACCATCACTCTGGGATCTGTGGCTGTGGCTTCCGAACGGCTCAGGCAGAAGTAGTGGAGAGGTGCAGCTGTATGTTCCGTTGGTGCTGCTTGGTCCAGTGCAGGCAATGCCGGCATCTAGTGGAAGTGCACCGTTGCCGATAGGAGGGCGAGCTGGAGGCACGAACAGCTTGCCAAGGAAGCAGAAGTTGTGGGTGACCACCAGCCAGCACACAAGAGCTGAATGAGACACCGGAAGGTGGAGTGGGAAACTCCTTTGCTGGAGTCCAGAGATGGGGCTGAGCTATTGGGAGCCATACAGCTCATAAGAATACCTGCAGCACCATCTCTCTGCAAGAAATGGTGGCTTTGATCCAACTGGTAAAACTTGGCTGTTTTGTTGGGCCTTTTATTTTATACAATGGGCATATCGTCAGTTAAGATAGGAATAAAATAACTTTGCAAAAGTGATGTGAGTGAGTAGACGTATATGCATGCATATGAGCACTACAATGAAAAATGTGGGCAGCTACATCTCCAGGTGTAGCTCTAAGCAGGACTGATCACTATTTTTCCTGCTCAGTTTTCTCCCATTTTTTGCAAAACATTCACCAGATGTATTTGTCATGGAGCTGAATACAAATCACAGTTATCTACCTTGATCCCTCCCACAATTTCAAAAACTAGGTCAAGATGCCTGTTTATCATTTTAATATGAGTTTATTGCTTTATTTTTGTTTTGCTTGCTTATGAAAGGGAAACCACTTATTAAAAAGCACCAAAACTACTGATATGATGAGTGAGTAGAAGTGGTTCCAAGGTTGCAGCCATCAGCCAGTCAGTGCTGTGTGCACAGCCAGTTTCATCTGCAAACTGGAAGAACTGGTTTTACCTTGAGATTAAAGTTGGACAGGGCACTGAATTCTCAAACAACACAGTGAGTGCAATTCCACAGCATTTGATTGTTGGAAAATTGTACATCTCAACAGAACAAGGTCCTAACTCTGCACAGAAAAGGTTTGTTATCAACAAGAACACAAAGCAACAGCTCCTGAATGAATTTCCTGGTGAGGATGAGAGACAGTAAGTATTGCCCAAGAAGGAACCAGGATTCCTCACCCACTGTGATCGTCTTCTGGATTTGGTACCGAGTTGCAGGACCCCAACAGATTTGGTAAACACAGGGGCTATTCAGATGGTTTACTTTAGAGTGCAGTCCTTAGGAGGCAGATGTAATAGCAGAAATATCCATGGTGAATTCACACTTCATAGGAAGCAAAATGCAAAACAGTGTGAAGTACTTAAACAGCATAGTCCATGCAACATGGAGTATCTTTCAGAAGGGAGGGTGAGTTTTCCACTTTCCTCTCTCCCAGTCTTAAGTCCAAGCTTCCCCGTGGCACCTTCACCCTTCAGAAAAGCTCAAGAATTTTTCTTTCCAGAGCATCACTTCGTCTTTCCCTTCCTCCTTGCTTAGCACATGGTAAGCGCCCGTTTTTAGACAGCCAATTCGCATCACCTGAGGACAAAATGTGAAAGAATTAGGACAGCAGGGAGTTGCAGGGGCTTCCTTCACTGCTGATGAACCAGTTCTGCCCCACAACTGTCTCACTGAAGCATGGCATCAGGCCCACGGTGGAAGGCACGCATCCGCCAAGGCCCTCGCCTCTGCAGGGAGCTCAGGGCCAAAAGCCTGGAGACTCTGGGCCCTGCGCCCCCCCCCCCCNNNNGTTATCCTGCCAGCTCTGAGTACCCAAACAAGGGGAAGAGTGCGGAGACAGAGTAGCATCCCTTTGCCTTGCACTGTCCCTTGAGCAGCCATAGACTAGGTTCCAGAGGGAAAGAGAAAGGGTGTGTCTAGACAGGAATACACACACACACACACACACTCTGAGTACCCAAACAAGGGGAAGAGTGCGGAGACAGAGTAGCATCCCTTTGCCTTGCACTGTCCCTTGAGCAGCCATAGACTAGGTTCCAGAGGGAAAGAGAAAGGGTGTGTCTAGACAGGAATACACACACACACACACACACACACATTCTGGCTTGTACTGGTCTAAATAAAGCTCCAAGGGGTCATTCAAATCGATCCTTCCCTTCAGACACTTGTACTGGTCTAAATAAAGCTTCATTCAAATCGATCCTTCCCTTCAGACACAAATGTGCCTTTTCTCAGGTATTTTCAGGACAAGAAACCACACTGCGCCTCAAATCTCTCCAGTTCTCCAAGGTACAAGATTCATATCCTTGTACAGTATCTGTTACAGTACTTCTTTCTCATCCCCCCACCCCATCCCTTTTTTTTGGAAGAGGCATAATGCTGTTTAGATATAAGAATGAAGAAGTGTAACATTTATTTGACAAAGCACTGAGAAACTATTTCTTTAAAAATTAAGAGTTGAGAAAATGGAAGAGGAGGGGGAGGAGGAAAAGCCAAAGCTGATTGGCTACAGTGGGAAGCTGCGCAGGAGAAAAGGGTCACAAAATAAGCAGCAGAGCTGCTTGCTCCTCCTGGTCTTTGGTGTGTGCACACACCCTGTTGCTGTGCCACTTGTGTTTCCTCCCACCCCCACCCCTGTGGGAAGGGGTGGTTGAGTCTACTATTACCACCACCACCACTGGTAGTCCCTTGGCTGACAGCAGCTTGACAGCTAGCCATGTAGTACCATAGAATAACTGAGCTGGAAGGGGCCTAAAAGGCTATTGAGTCAGTGCAGGAATGCAAATCAAAGCACATCTGCCAGATGGTACAGTAGTCCAATTTTCTCTTGAATGCCTCATGGTAGTCCAATTTTCTCTTGAATCCCTCCAGTGGTGGAGCACTCTCCGCCTCCCAAAGTAATTGGTTACGTTGTTGTACTGCTCTAACAGTTAAGAGGTTTTGCCTGATATTCAGTACAAATCTGGCTTCCTGCAGCTTGAGCCCACTAGTACGTGTCCTGCACTCTGGGATGATCAAGAACAGATCCTGCCCCTCCTCTGTATGACTACCTTTCAAGTATGTGTAAAGTGTTATCATATCTCCCATCAGTCCTATTTTCACAGGATTAAACATGCCCTTTCAGTCTTTCCTCCTAGGGTTTGGTTTCCAGCTCCATGATCATCCTTGTTGCCCTCCTCTCAACTTGCTCCAGTTTGTTGGCCTCCTTCTTAAAGTGTGGTGTTCAGAACTGTGCTGTCTCTCCTTAGGCTCAAGTCTCCTCTCCTGTCAGAAGGATGAGATGTTGGGGGTGGGTGGGGAAGAGAGATAGAGGAGAGGAGACCCTAGAAAGAGTGTCTGGCTAGCTGACAAACTGCTAGCAGCTGATGGGAGTAGCCATTTTTCCCTCTCCCCCCCCCAGCTCCATCACCCCTCCTGGATTTGATTGTCACCACCTTCTCCCCTTCTGGCAGCCTCCTCCTCCTCCTCCGTACTTTCCAAGTTCTAATTCAACATTTATCTGCCATAGTGCTGAATGAATGAATTATTTTAAAAAAATAAATTCAGAGCAGCGACAACAAAAGAGGAGGGTTTTTTTTTTCCTGCTGTACAATGCGGTGCCGCACCCTGTTCCAGCTATCACCCTCAGGTCACCTCAGGCTCCACTGCCACTTTGGAGTGAGAATGGTGTGGACACGCACCAAACTAAAAAAGGGAGGGATCTCACTGGCACCAGAAAACCTGGAGCCCTTGTCAGAGATCCAGAAAGTTCTGAATGGAGATGGGGAAAGGCCGGATTGGTTCATAATTAGCTGTGCTTCCTACAATCGCCACAAAATGGAGCAAACTTGACTGTCTCAACATGAGATAAAAAGGGGGATAAATCGCAGGGTGGGCAGCCCTAAAGTGAATATGCAGCAGGAACAGCGCTGAGGACGTGGTGGGTCCTCTCAGGAGGAGGTGGCACAGGTATGAAAGGCCGGTTAGCCAGGTCCCATCCAGAGCCACTTAGCATCCTTTAGAGGCCCCTCTGACAAGAATCTTGGAGGCACCGGATGGCTATGCGGCAGAATTTTGAACGCTCAGGTAAAAAGGACCTGAGGAAATACTTAGGGGTGGAGGATTAGAGATTATTACTAATCAGAACTGGATTATGAAAGACGGAATTACAACCATGATCTGGCAAAGGAAGGGTCGCTGTGCTACGTTTTCCTGCTTCTTGTTTTCTGTTTCAATTAATGTTTTGCCTTTCTATACTGAGGGAGCACACAGCTACCAAGTAAAATACAGTTTCAAAAAGAAGTTCAGAAACAAGAGCGTTACAGCAGCACCATCTATCTCACATACTATTCTTCTGAAGCTTCTAACGGCTGCACAAGCAGATGCAAAACAGCAAGGACACTCACTTTTTTCAATAGGAAAAGTATTAGAACCAACTTTAACAGGACCTGATCCTGGTGTACTTTAAACCAGACAAGAGAAAAGCTGACCACTTCTGTTGGCTTTCCTGAACTGAAATGTGGATATACTCCAGATTTTCAGAATACCTATTTAACTCTGGAAAAGACATACACTGCCTACTCAGTTTTTATGGAACAATGAGATTATGTCCACAGCATTCTAGATTTTTTAAAATTTGGTGGCATTCTTCTGTTGTTCAGTCTTGATTTGTAGTCATCATAATGTCTAGAAATGAAGTGGCTGCACCAGGCAGTTATTTAGATTTCAAGGCTAATATGACTTTACTGAGCAGCGGCTTTCTTGCCCTGTCTGTCAAAGTGGCAAACGAAATGCTTCCCGTGTTCATAAAGGTGCCTTTTGTTCGTTCAGGCCTTTAATGATTGATTTTATTCTTCCGGCTGGCTCTTACATTAGATTTTGGCTAATATCTTTTTAATCTGTTTGATACTGTGTCTAGCTGTTGTTTTATTGCTGTTTGACTCTCTCCTTTGGTGAGACACAGTGGAGGAATATATTCTTAAAATAGGATAAATGACTGTAAAATAAACGAATTGGTAGATTAATTAATAAAAAATGCAGGGGTAAATATTTTGGCTACAAAGCAAAAATCAATTATTAAAGCCGCCAACCCTAGAAAAGCAATGGATCACAGGCCAGTTTAGCTGTAGGATCATCATGAATTAACACAAAGTAACCAATCAATCTCTTTTTTTAAAGCTATTACTCAGAGTATGGATGGGGAGCAATCATATATTTGGGGAATGCACCCAACTCTGTAAGGCCACACCAGCCTCTTCTGTAGAAGCTAAAAATGACCTTCCAGTTTTTCAAAAACTATATGTTTGGGACCCAAACAATGTGAAGAATGTATTTTGTTCTAATCTAGAATTGTAATGCTCATTGGTTTCAGGGAGACAGTGGCCAAAATCCTGTTCTTTAGCACAGTAAATTGCACTAGAGTAGGCCTATTGAATCAATGGAGATTTGGTCAGTCAACTTCCTCTATAGGTTCTACTGATTCAAATGGACCAACCCCAACTGTGACCTACTATGCTATAGTAAGTCAGTTATACTAGGCCCATTTGACTCAATGGAATGTATGGACAAGTTGATTCACTAAATCTGCAATGAGTCAATGGACCTACCAGTTGTGACTTGTTACATGAAGCAATGGGATTTTGGCCAGTTTATCATTTTTGAAGCCCCCCCCCCTTTTTAAAAAGTTTGGGAGGGCCAGGATCCACACTGATAGACTACTCAAGGACAACCTAATTCCCGCCTCTGTCTTAAAGGGAGTGTTGCACAGAGAGAAGCAGTATTTATTGCTTGCTGGATATGATTTATTTTTGAGTAAAGTGGGGACTTCTAAGTGGGAATGGGTATTGTCAGATTTCCCCCCACCATTTTCTGTTTGAATTTTGAAGAGGAGCCCAGAATGAAATAGTGACGAATGGAATTAGTGAATTCCATTTCCATGGTCAGGCAGATGGCCTCTTGCTTATGAAAGGGTTACCAAAGAGTAGATAGGCAAATAATGCTGGATAACATTTCTCAGTTCATTTCATCATTCAGTTGAGGCGCCTTGACAAGACCCCTCAACAAGGAAACTGTTTCATCATTCAGTTGAGGCGGTCTTGCCTTGACAAGACCCCTCAACAAGGAAACTCCAAGCCCTATGACATATTCCAGGTGAGTATGAGACAAAGAACACCAGCATTTCTCATCAAGGTCTCCATGATTTGTGCAAAGTACGCAAAACCAACATCCTTTCTTTTTAAAGAAGTAAAGCACACATGCATACACACACACACACACAACCAGCAAGCACAGAAGAATGGTTCTAATACAGTAGTTTAAAAAATAGCAAAGAACTCCTTTGATGCTTCTGATTCCATGCAATAAGGCAGCAATGAATATCATTTTGCCCAAGTTGTATTATTTGCATGAAAGCATTGTTTAAGGTATTATTTTGTGCAATTTTGCTCAGTTTCTGCAGCAAATCCTTTTCATTCTCATCCTTTTCATTCCTGTTCTCATTTTCTTCATGATAATGCAATGAAATGGATAGCTCAGTGGTTTAGGCATCTGGCTACAGAACCAGGAGTTGTGGGTTTGATTCCCCATGGTGCCTCCCTGACAGGGGCTGGTCTCAATGATCCATACGGTCCCTTCCAGTTCTGCAGTTGTTGTTGTTGTTGTTGTTGTGTTGTTGTTGTTGTTGTTGTTGTGTTGTTGTTGTTGTTGTTGTTGTGTTGTTGTTGTTGTTGTTGTTGTGTTGTTGTTGTTGTTGTTGTTGTGTTGTTGTTGTTGTTGTTGTTGTGTTGTTGTTGTTGTTGTTGTTGTGTTGTTGTTGTTGTTGTTGTTGTGTTGTTGTTGTTGTTGTTGTTGTTCTTCTTCTTCTTCTTCTTCTTCTACTACTACTACTACTACTACTAAATACCTTGCTCTTGTGGTGGTGTGAGGATAATTTTGCAGTTGTTCATCCTGGCCTGTGAGGATGGAACAAGCAAGGACTTACTGTATTTTTTCCATGTATAAAACGGCACTTTTTCCTAAAACAATTAGAGGGAGAATTGAGGGTCGTTTTATACACAGAAGGCAGCAGGAGAAGGCGGAGACTGAGGCAAAGAAGCAGCTGGAGTCAGCCGCCTCTCACGGCTGCCCATTGACTGCTGCCGCCGCCTCCCGATCACCCCCTCCAACCATTGTCTCCTTGTGATTGGGTGGCAGTGGCAGCAGCAGCCAATGGGCAGCAGCGAGAGGTGGCTGAGTCCGGCTGCTTCTTTGCCTCAGTCTCCGCCTCCTGCCTCCACCCCTGGTTGCCGGCTCAGTGTCTGTGCAGCGCTTTGATCCCTGCCTTTCCCTTCCCTTTGCTCTCCGTCCCTGGTTACCGGCTCAGTGTCTGTGCAGCCTTTTGATCCCTGCCTTTCCCTTCCCTTTGCTAAGCCCCGGGTTTAGGAAGTGGCGAGGAAAGCAGCAATCAAATTTTCTAATTAGGAGTTAGAAAAGTGGTGGTTGTCTTATACATCAGTTCATCTTATAAACGGAAAAATACGGTACATCCCTATTGAAAAGCTATGGGGCTCCTGGGGAAAAAAGGATCTATTCCTCACCTTCTTTTTATTGAGGCTGTACTCCCGACACTGGCTGCTCTTGAATGAACAATAAGTAGGATGCTGAACTTTTTCTGAGTCACAGATCTGGAAGGAATGAAGTAATGTGCAGAAGTTGAGGAGGGGAATGAAAAGAACAATTGAACATAGAACAAAGGGCAGGGACTTTCTCAGTCCTCACCTTGTCTGGAAAGTCTCCTCTATGAAATAAAGAGTATTCTGACTGCAACCAGAGAGCTACACGAAAGTCATCACAACCATGAGTAGCCAGGCGATCACACCAATACTTGGCCTGTAAGCCTTCATACATCTTAAGCCCATAAAACTCTGTTAAGTCTGGGGAGACCTAGTGATAAAAAGAAATGTAGGGAGGATGTGACAAAAGGGGAATTTGTCCACAAATGGATATTTCTCCAGTAATTCAATAACTTAAACTTTACCCTACCTTGGTGACCATCGCCTGATGTTGGGCCAAGATCCCAGGATTGAGGTAGTCTGTGAACGTGCCATTATCACAGTGGACCCGTTTCAGGTTGACGGCCCCTGCACACTGCTCAGTCTTCAAAGAGCAGAATGCACACTGAGAGCAAAGATCTTCATGGTGGCGTCCAAAGTTATCACATACCTGGAAAGTGATGAAGTGATGAGAAGGGCCAGCTCCAGTTTCTGGAACAATGTGCTTCTGGCCACCCTAAGGTTTCCAGCAAGACATTGTTAGGTCTGAAATGGGCACTGGTTTTTCCCAACATACTACTGTATTTGTCAATGTTATTGATGTTTCCTGTTCCAGGATTGGACCCCAAAGTAGACTTTCCCCAACGGTTCCTTTTCTGTCCTTAGTGAATATTATACAAAGTGGCACAGGTATCAATCGGGGAAGGTTCTGGAGATATCGAAGTTTGCCAAGGGCTGGACTGCTGATGGCATTCGTTGCTGAGGCTTACCAAATCACCAAAGCCAAGAGTTTTGTCCTCCATTTGCTTCCAGGCTTTGCTAACAGCTGAGGATATGCAAATGTCTTGCAGCACCGAATAACAGAGAACCACCAGAGCTCCATCGTTGTCAAGAGCAAAGATGCTACTAAAACAAGGAAGAGAAGGAAAGGAGCAAATTATAGGAGGCTGATAAGGAGGTCCATTTTGATTTTGTCATTTCAGTCTGGAGGATCAAGTGAGAGTGGAGAATAATGGTAGCATGAGATCTCATACTCCAAGATCAAAAGAAGGGCTGGGAAACATGATGTTGATCAAACATGAGGGAAACATCCTCCAGATGTGAATGAACCAGTAAACCCATGACCTCTCACTATTAACCAGGTTGGCTAGAGCTAATGGAAATTGGAGTCCATCAGTATCTAGAGGACCATAATTTCCTCAGCACTGTGCTCCTTGTGGCAATTCTGTCCATTTCAAGCCTCTGTGTGTACATTTATATACAAACAAATTATATTAGATATCTATAGAAACACATTTGGGTGTTTAGGTTGTGGATGATCCTAGGCAGAAATGAATGTTGATTTGGTAGAATGGTTGAAATGTTGCTGTCTGGGAGGGTCTGGTGAGAGTTAAGTTGAGAGATGGCAGGTGAGAGAGGGAGATCAGAAAAGTTAGAATTGAAGGGAGTTAGAAGTCTGAAAGTTAGTGGTAGCCTGTGATAGAATTTATGAAGCAAAGTCTGTCAATAGTGGTTTAAAAGTGAATGTCAGAATGGCTGAGAGTGCATAACATGATTATTTTGAACACAAAGGAAATATATTTAGATCTTACTGTTGTTTTAATATTGATCATTCACATGGCACTAAGGAGCGACGTCTAGGAATTTATTTATTAAAAGGTGCCTGAGTTATGCCTGCAACCTTCTGAGGAGTGTGTAACCCAGCTAGTGTGAAAATTAGTGCAAAGGCTAGAACATCGCACTCCTCCCCTCTGTGAGGGATTGTCTTTTTTACAAATGGCTTGCCATCACCTTTATTCAGCCAATCACAATTGCACAATCATTATTATGTTTATTCAGCCAATAATCATTTTAATCTGGAGAGCTGATAGCAATTAAACCTCTCTTTCTGCTGCCAGCACTCACCAACCTAGGAACGAGACTGTCTGTGTAGGTCAGGAAACTGCACACTAGCTGTGAAAGAGACATATATCAGGAAAGACGGTGTCAGTTATTCTGCTGGACTCCAGGCTGAGCTTTGTCCTTACCTGCCATTGGGACTGTTCTCTGCAGTTGTTTCCTGGTAATTCAGATCTATTTTGATGTCCTTGGTATCAGGCAAGTCCTTTGAATTGAGGGCCTGCTCCAGTGAAAATGCCTTGCTAATCAGACGGTGGATGCTTTGGTGCAGCTTTTGGTCTGTGAGCCCCTCTGTAGCTTTGATGTCTGTGGTGGGTTCTTCAGTAGAGACCACAACGTGTAAGTGCTCGGCATGCTCATGCTCTGTGGGGCTCTGGAGTGTCCCCCAGTTACTGTCTGGAGATGGAAAATGGATCCTGGGGATAGGTTCCTCGCCTGAGACTGCAAAGGCATATTTCAAAATGGCATCCACGTTGGAGCGGAGACGGATCTCGGGAGACAGGGAAATCTCAGTTGGGGCCGGGCCGGGCTTCTTACTTGGAGCAGGAGAGGAGATTATGATCTCTTCCACAGGCAGCGGGTTAGGGCATACGACTCGCTATCCAAGAGGAAAAGGGGGGAAATTGAGGGAATATGACTAAACTGTTTTGTGTAAAGAATTCCATTTCCTTTCCTGACTCTTTTCCTCATCTCATGCTTTAAAAAAACAAACACTGTCAAGAGTTTGAATAATCAGGTTATTCCCCCCCAAAAAAAGGCGGTCAACCCAGCCATTCTCTTACTGCACTGCTACTATTTATGGAATCAGCGGACCATCAGTCCAGAACTACTACAGGAGCAATCTGTTATTCCGTCCATAATTTTGGTAGCACCATGATTCCTGAATGCCTTGTTAGTTGAGAACTCTCCCAGTCTATGCACTGGTGCCCCTCGTGGTGAGCCACTCAATGACCTCAAAATGGAGAAAGAATAAGATGGCATTGTTCTTTCAGACTCAGCTTGACTCTGCCCCTCAAGCTGCCCACTGAGAGCCCTTCTTATCTAGGCAACACCCAGGGTTTGTTCTGGTAGGAATGGGGCCTTAGTTTGTTCCCGGCATCTGCGCCTGCCTTCCCTTCCACTACTCCTTGCCTGCATTCTTGTTCCAATGGTGTTTCAGTTCTAGACAACTGTTCAGCTCAGATAATGTCCTGGCTGTAGTTGTTAATTTGAATGGACCTTCCTGCAATGTAGGAATTTTGGCAGGAAGTGGGGAATTCTGAGGGGCCCATAACTATATCATAACTGCATATAATTAAGAAGGGGGAATCAATTTTTCACTCCCTCTAGTTTTATCTAGGTCATGTTCTCCCAGCTTTCTCAAGAAAGTAGCAAAATGTTCCCAGCCTCAATTTGTGCAGTAGCCTGATAACTTGCGAAATCTTTTGCCCCTCACCTTGGTGTAGAATGTTTGAGTTAAACACCGAAATTGTGCAAATAAACAGAAGGTATCAAAATATATGTTCTCAGGAAGGCCAGTACAAATGGGACCTGAAAGCAGAGGATGGAATAGTATTACAACTATAAGAAAGAGCAAACAGTACATCATACCGTATCCTACACTGAACCAGGGCAAATCAGAAACCATAGTAAGGTTAAGAAATAACCAATTTCTTACATTCATCAGCTTCCATGAGGGCTGAGCATGTGCACAACTAGATAATATTTGAAGCATTAACTTCCAAAAAGAAATTCCCTTAAACACAGAAGGAAGGTTGTCACATTACAGTATAACCACCTACCTCACAGATTATGGCTTCTTGGAAGGTACATTTGCAAAAGGTCTGAGCCTATTCCTAAACTAACAAGTTATGGGATAGGGGGATGGACTTCTATAGTGAAAGCAAGCTTCACCGAGTCAAAGCCCTCGTATGGCCAAAACTGTGAGATCAACCACTGAGCTTCCATCTCAGCTTAGCTGCCATCCCTCATAGTAGCTGGGAGAGAAACTAATTTCCTCAGGAACCATAAATTGTTCAATTTCCTGGTGCCATGTTCTCTTGAAGAGATCTGGGAAAGATACTGAAGACAAGTTGCTGGAAACACATCTGCAGTTCCTAGAGTCAACAGAGACAAGAAGTACTATAAAGGGAAATGTCTGCTGTATAGATATACATTGCAGGTTGAGGAGGGAGTGACAAAGGAAGAGATAGGGCACAGGAGGCCTGTATGATTCTGTCAGGACTGGGGCCTTGCTGGAACCCGGGCAGGCTTAGTTCAGGCAGGATCGGCCTCATCTCTCTGGGGAGAACTGCTCTAAGGATGGCAGGGCTGGGCCCTTTCCCTGCAGCTGTTGCCCAGCTCTTCAGGAGTGCCACCAGGGGAAGCTGAGGACTGGGCTATATGAGAACAGGCCTTCCCCACAGACCTTTGCCTCAGCAATGAAGGCCTTTGGCTGTGCTGATACTTTTGCCTCGTCTGCCAACCTCCTTGTTCCTGCCTTGTCTCTCCTGCATCCCTAGACCCTGCTGCCTTGATATGGTTCCTCCCAGATTTGACCACCGGACTGTCTGAACATGATTTGCATCATCCTTCATCATCTGGCTACTGTTTGTACTCAAAACCCCAGTTGGTTGGTCTCTGCTTGGGCTGTGAGGATGGCTCTACCACCTTGTTACTGTAGTCCTGCCCTGGACTGGGTCCTGGTGCCTCTCCTTACCGAACCCTGACAAGTTCTTTGAATAAATAAAAAATGTGTACTGTATCTAAAGTTCACTTAAAGGTTGGCTCTATGCCCACCACTGCCTTATAGACCATAAAGACATTTAGGGCATTGTTAAATCACAGAACAATTGTGAAAATGTATCTACAGTACATATATAGGGGCTGGAAGGAACTGGAAGCACATGCCAATGATCTACCCTTATAGACCATAAAGGCACTTAGGGCATTGTTAATTCACAGAACGATTGTGAAAAATGTATCTACATATATAGGGGCTGCAAGGAACTGGAAGCACATGCCAATGATCTATCTCCACATACCTTCTGGGATCTGGCCATGATTCTCAAGTAGATCCAGCTTCACTATTTTAGGATCAGAGCAACCTTTGTTATGCCGGATCTGACATACTTGGCTTGCTTTCCATGCGGGTTTCAGGGAAGAGAAAAAGGCATCGTATTCCTCCTCTGAGAGGGGGCTGCCTGGAGTTACGGACAATGTTTTTGGAATCAGCTGGGCCAGAAAAACTGAGAAACCTGGAAAAAAAAACACCAGGAGCCCAAGTAGACATAAATATTAGTTAGACAAAAACATGTAAGGGCTCTATTCAATAAAAACCTCTGATGGCCCCTGCCAGGTGAACTCATAGTACCTTTGCCTCTTTTGAAAAAACAAAACAAAACACATTGGTATGAACTGCCAAGTGCACATCTTCTAATGCCCTTCCTTACGCAGAAGTGTTTGTGGGAAAGAGAGGACACAAGTGGATCTCCCCGTCACCCAGTCTTTCTCACTTTCAGGTCATAATCTCTTGCACACTTTCCTGGGAATAAGCCCCACTGAACGCAATGGGTCTTTCTTCTGACTAAACATACACAAGGCTCTACTGCCAGTATAATTTTTTAAAAAGCTGAAACTCCTTTGCTTACATTGGGGAAATGTTGTTCCTTTCCTCTACTCTGCCCTAACATTTTCCTAGATGTATGGTAGAAGAGGGCCACCTATTGTCTAATAAGAGACATACGTTTTTCTGGAGCTTCTGAAAAGAACTCAGAAACTGTTACATCAATAATATACTGATTTATCACACATGTTTATGCAGCAATGACTATTTTTGCTAGAGGATTGTCATAATTTCACTGCTGGGTATGAAGGAAAAAATATTTCAAAAGGGGCAGTTTTGTTCATTTCTCTACATTTCTTCCCTCCCCATAAATAAAAAAAGAGCATTTTTTATTAAATGCGGGAATTGGTGGGAGCTGCACCTGTGGAATCACTGCCTGTCATGTAAAGGTTAGAGACAGACAGGTTCTGTCAGATGGAAATCCTATAGCTTGGAAGGGAGGAACCCATTCTTTTGACTAAAAATGTAAGGTTGCTTTTTTAAAAGGCACACAGTAGGAGTTCTGTTGGTAACATCAATACAGTACTGAGATGTCAGATTGGAAGGAAATCTCCCCATATAGACCTTACTTAGGAGTAATTTATTATTTACACTTTTATTATTTCTATTTTTTGTTATGTTAAATGGAACTTGGTGGTATCTATATGCTGTAAACTGCCCAGAGTGGCCTCAGCCAGATGTGTGGTATAAAAACGAAATAAGATAAATAAAATAACTAATGGCCATCTTTTTGATGCCAAAATGGAAGCTCAGCTTCTGATATGCACTGCTGCACAGCCATAGGCAATTTGTCCTGCTTTCCCTAGTACATATTAAAGGCAGGGGTCTATAATGAGGATCTATTTAAAAAGCCTCATGAGGTCCCTCCTCATCTGAGTTGTGTTTGTCACCCCTGTGTTAACAGGAGCTATGACATGAGTAAAGCACAGGCACTTAACCATGCAGTCAGGGATAAGGGCAATTGTACTGTATAACGAAACTTGATTGAAAAGTAGGATAGCTGGGTTTCCTCTCAGGATAAGAAGTCACTTACCCACCACAAGAGACCATGTTGGAGATGTGCGTCCTAGCCCTGCCATTCTGCCTGGTTCACTCCAGGCCACCCCACTTCCCACCAACATACCACCCCATTTCAAAGGCCAGCAAGGGCAGGAGCTGTTGGAATTAGAATGCAGTGACCTCATAGTTGGAGGTGCCATCCTTACAAGAGAGCAACTGGATCCCACATGGTTGTTGTTTAGTGTAGGCTCATACAATATAAGGAGGCAGCGAAGATCTAGCTCAATCCATAGGTTCCCATTGCCATTAAAGACAGTAGACAGGTCTGGCTAAGGAGGTTCTCTCTTCTGCAAAACCACTGAAATGGAGAGCTGCTCAAGAGTAAAGGCAGGCTCACATTCACCTCTGATTGGTTTCCAGGCAGGAATCAGACCTTATATAGAAGTTTGTGGATCATGCCCCATGTTAATTAATGGGATGTGGCATTTTTTGGCTTTCGCTTTTCTAGTACTGTATCAGGTTTTCTTTGGTCAGAGAGCAGAACATTGGAGGCAAAAGACAAGTGGAGGAATTTAACAGCACAGCAGAGAGGGAAGAAGTGGAAGTAAATAAAGCAGAGAGTAGGGGGAAGATAAGTTTTAGCATGGTCAGACTCTTATTTGTATTCAAAGAAAAAAAATCTTTCCGTTTTATTGTTTGATGGTTCCATGTACAGTATTCCTTCCTTGTATGATCTGACGTCCTCTAAAGTTCTGTATATTTCTCTTTCATTGAGACCTAATAAATGGTTGCAGACATCTTTTGTTGGATCAGCTTACGTGCATATAAACTGAAAATGAGGTGGTGGTTACCAATTCAAAAAGTGTAATTTTAGCATAAAATGACATCCAGGAGAGACCAGTCTACCAACATTCGGTAATATTCCATATCTGTTAATTTTAAGTTCTTTGGCATGTGATTATGTTCAACTCTTTCCTTTTGCCCTCACCCCACTGATATGTCTATTTGACTTCTGACAACCCAAAAACTTTACATCCATTTACAGTAAAACCTAGAGTTAAAACAGTTTGACAGAGTTAAGGGGAATATTGAACATCAAGATCTTGTCACCTTTTTCATGAAAGTGTCACTTCAATTCCCCTTGTTTCTAGAGCAGATGTTATGTATCAGATTTGTAGTCCATGTTTGTAATCTACCACTTAATACGGCAGCAAGCCAAGTACCAAAATAAACAAGAAAAAAAAGCAAATTTGTAATCCACAGTCTGTTTTGGTTCTGGCTATAACTCCCAGAACTTCTTGGCCAAATGTTATGTAGCAAGTAACAAAGTTTATACCATAATTTCTACTCTCTCCCCAGCTGTGACTTGGCACTGTTTGAAAGATATGGTACAGTTATGCAGTTTTTCTAAACTCTTAGAACCTACAGAGTTAAGGGGGATATTGAACAGCAAGATGTTGCCACCTTCTTCATTAAAGTGTAACTTCAATTCCCATTGTTCTAGTTACAAACTACATAAGATGCATTACACTCATGTCAGGGGGGAAATCTAAATTTGAGGTGGTGGTGCAACGCTAAGCCCAACTCAATCTGATGGTGCTTATTAAGAAAGCCCAGTTTGGCTTGGACCCAGCTACTTCTAGAAACTGTTGTCATTGGTCAGTGCTCTTCTTTAAGTACCCCTGACATTCAGAGGCAAGGGAGAGAGCAGAGAGAGAGAAGACTCAACTGTTCCAGCAGTGTCACCTTGTCCATGGAATTTCTTTTACATGAGGCTTGACTCCTTCCTGCCCAATCTTTTATGGACCAAGCAAAGGCTTTAATATTTTTCCTGGACTTCTATACAGTTTTGCAAAGTCTGCCTTGCTCTTTCATTATCATGGCATTTAATGTTGTTTTGTTCTTGCATGTCACTGCTTGTTGTACTGTACTTTAATATGTGGTACCCTGCAAAGGAATCAATAATGGACAGTATAAAATAAATATGTAATAACTAGATCTTGTTTACATTCATAGGACTGGGGAGGGGAACCTAAACTTTCACTTCAAGTAAATACAAAAGGAGAGCTCCAATTTTTGCTTTTCTAAAGAGAAAAGATCACTCCTTATTAAGCACTAAAGGCCTTTAAAAACAACAAGACCTATTCTCCAAATAAAAATAAACAGACTGGGCTAGTCTAGTGGTGTAGTTGCTAGAGTGACAAACTAGAAATTCTGGAAATCTGGGTTCAAATCCCCGTTCTACCATGGAAACTCATGAGAAGGGGGATGGCACTGGTAAATCCACTCAAATATCTCATTTACCTTGAAATCCTTATTACGATTCGCTGTAAGTCAGTTCTGACTTGACGATACGTAATACATAACACACACGATGAAGATTACTTACCTGTGAATAGGACTGTGTTGCAGATCTGCTGCTTGTGTTTACACTACCATAGCACATTTCACTTCATTTCTTCCATATCTCTAAAAATGTAGTCCATAAGGAGGGAAGATGGCTAGTGGGATTATGTTGTAACGTTTCTTCGGGTTAGAAGTCAAGATATAGGAAGAATGCATCAATGTGCCTATACAGTGGTGCCTCGCACGATGTTAATTGGTTAAAAAAAAAAACCGTTCTGTGAAACATCGTTCTGTGAAACACCATTTCCCATAGGAATGCATTGAAAACCGGTTAATCCGTTCCAATTGGAACAGATTGCCGTCCTTAAGCGAAAATCCCCATAGGAAACATCGTTGAGGGAAACGCGGTTCCCCAATTGAAATGCATTGAAGTCGACTCAATGCATTTGAATGGGTTTGCGAAGTCCCTTTTTGCTCCTGTAAAAGTGCCTTAAACTGTTTGAAAGGTGTTTAAAATGCTTGCTATCGTTAGCCCACCTCCTGAAACCTATGCAAACTCTATTGAACTGTCCGTCCAATGCATTTCAATGAGAGAAAAAACAAAAAATCACCAAAAATTAACGAGGCCTCAGAACAACACCAAATTAAGTTTGCATACGTTTCACAAGCTGAACTATCGATGCCAAGCATTTAAAACAGGTTTCAAACAGTTTAAGGCACTTTTACAGGAGCGAAAAGAGACATCAGAAAGAGCTTCAAAAGCAGGGAAACGGAGATCAAAGAGCCCTTTCCGATGTCCCTTTTCGCTCCTGTAAAAGTGCCTTAAACTGTTTGAAAGGTGTTTAAAATGCTTGCTATCGTTAGCCCACCTCCTGAAACCTATGCAAACTCTATTGAACTGTCCGTCCAATGCATTTCAATGAGAGAAAAAACAAAAAATCACCAAAAATTAACGAGGCCTCAGAACAACACCAAATTAAGTTTGCATACGTTTCACAAGCTGAACTATCGATGCCAAGCATTTAAAACAGGTTTCAAACAGTTTAAGGCACTTTTACAGGAGCAAAAAGGGACATCATTGTGCGAAAATTCCCCATAGGAAACATCGTTGTGTGAGGCGGCAAATTTTTCAGGAAAAGCCATCGTTGTGTGAATTTATCGTTGTGTGAGGCACTCGTTGTGCGAGGCACCACCGTATTTGGAGTGAGGCGGGCAGTTGATCTGTGGTTTAAATTCCTTATTTTTGGGTTTATAGCCGTCATTTTTTGTTTTAAACCTAAGTTCCTCCCTCCAGCCCCTTTAGGAGAAAATAGCGGCAAAATCTTGTTGCAGTGACAGAAATGGTGTGTGGAGAAGTTAGGAAATGTCCATAGTTTTATCTATTATAATCTGAGTCATGTGACTTAGCATGCAACAGATGGTGCCTATGGACATTTCTTAACGTATGGCAATTTGCCACTAAAGATTACACCTTTTGCATAACTGCATAACAGGATTTAAGCCAGTTTTTAACATGAAGGAAACACATTACAGAATGAGGTATTTTTCACAAGTTAATTCTACCTAAAAAGGGGAGAGTTAGAAAAACCACAGGTCCACCCTGTTACTGCCACTCTAAATTGCCCATTTGACTAATAGGCACAAGTAGAGATCTCCTGGTTTCAGAAAATGGCAGGAAAGGTGTAGCAACATCAATGCACAACAGCCATAACAAAAATATTGTTAAAAAAGAAGACAAAACTACATTCCATTAATTTCTATAAGGAAAATAATGGGAAACCTCTCATCAACCACAACTATGCAAGACAAGCCTCCTGGTATAAATAACTACCTTCTAATTTCATGTTGTCAAGCACTCTGCTTTGCCTAATCTGTGAATGCTCTGTACTCAACTAGTTGTCTTTCCCCTTATCTAATGTTCCTTTTTGCCCTCACCTTCTCCTGGACTCTTATCCTGATAGCTTCCCCCCAGGGCCACAAACAAGTGGGCAGACCACTTGTCATTGTTTGCAGAAACTATGATCACAGGTCAAATGTTTAAGTCCCTAATGGCACACCTTTTCAGACCAGGAACTGGCTGCTGACCAGTGACTCAGTTAATCCCACCTAAAGCTGAGAATCACTCCAAAGTTTGTTGAATTGTCTTTATTTATTTAATGCTATATTTTACAACATGGGGTTTCCCCCAAAAACAAGCACCACCAAGAGAGGAGTGGAGAATGGCTGGCCTCTGTTACAAATCCACAAACACTTCATTTAGCAGGCAGCAGGGAAATCTCACCTTACAGAAGACTTTCCCCATGAAGAAAATGAGACATACTCCAGCTGGCTCTAAATGGTTCCTCTCCCTTGGAATAAAAAAATGGAATGTTGTGGAGGGAGCGAAAGAATAAGAGGCCTGTCTTCTAAATTCACTGACTGGATAAAGGACTGGCCTGGTTGCCCCTCTTCTGGGACAGGGCTTAACAAAGTCGGAAGGAAGACTTTGCTTCTTCTATTAGCTATTCAGGTATCATTCCTTCTCCCACCAACAAGTCTTGGTTCCTTTAGCTCATACAGGCTTTGAAACCTGTGCTGGGTAAAGGGCTGCAGGAAAGAAGAGGGCTCACTCCATCTCCCCCTCAAGAGCAAAAAGTGAGTATTTCAGTACACACAGGAACCATCATATGAATACAAACCATTCACAGGGTAAGACCCCCTAAGTATGAGGCCCCACAAACTGGGAGAAGAGCACTGAAGTCCGGGGGCAGGGTTGGGTGTTCTGGCAACAACTGTCAGGACCTAAGAAGAAATCAATTTTATTTCTTCTTCCTCTCTTGGGAACAGCGAGGACAAAACCTGCAGAAGAAATACAAAGGACAGCAGTAATCGGGAGACAAGGATAAATAAGGATGCTTGAAATGTGTCTTAAGAAAATTTTGATATGCGAGCAGAAGGTCAAGCCATATAACTTGTGTACACTATGCAAATTATATTACATTTGTGTATTTATATACACGAATGGCATTGCCATGAAAGACTACAAGACAGGAAAGGAGAGTGTAGTGGGAGACAGTCGTAGCAGGCATTTTAGGCAAACCCACCATGCTCTCCCTTGTGTGTGCGTGCCTTATATTATGCAGTAGAAATAGGGGCTATATTCAGATTTTCCACCTTAGTGAATGGAATTTCTTAGAATGGCCCCATACAGACATTGCCCTAAACTATGTTCTTAGAAATTTCTGACCCTTTTATAAAAAGAATTCAGATTACAGTAAGTGGTAACTAGAGGTTGAGGCCTCTACATAACAAAACAATGTCTCTGAATCAAAGTCTTTGCAAGATGCTGAATTCAGCCAAATTTCAAACCAGCGTGGGTATGGCCTTTCAGAGGATTGCAACTCTATCATGCCTGGACAGCACAGAAAGGAGGGAAGGATTATGAGTTGCAGGACAAAATCTGAATACCACAGGCTCGTCATCTTTGTTTTAAAGTATTCTGAGTGACTAGAAGGACCCAATATATATGCTTTTTCTTTCACAGTCTAAATGTCAACAGAAAGTGAGATTCCAAATCATAGTGAGACTGCCACAGGACAAATATACAATGTCTTGGAAATGGCATATCGGAAGCAGGAAACCGCAATTAACATAGGAATGAGCAAAAGGCAAAATGCTGCCCTGGCATCCCTCAATGTGTTCACATTTCCCTAATGATGAGGATGATTTAGCCTGAAATGATTAACAGTTCGGGCTATGATTGTTCTCTCACAGAAGGTTTTTTTTGTTAATGCAAGAATGACCAGTTGAGCACTTCTTACCAGAGGCCCCATGAGACTAAATCAGTGTGCCTTTCACTAAAAATGGCTCTAAATGGTCAATCACACCCACGATGTGGCTTCAAGGTTTCAGGAAGTTTACTATCCCTGGGTTAAAGAATTTAGAAAGCATTAACCAGGATTTGCCAGTTTGGAGATAAATGGCAAGCCAGGGCTTAGTGTAGCTTCCCAAATGGTTCCTGAGCTCATGCAAAGAGAAAAGTAAAGCAGCTGCACGTACGTACAAGAAGTCTGGCTTATTACAGCCAAAAGGTGATAACTCAAATATGGCAAACCTCCAGCTGACCAAGAAGCAGGTGTGAAGAATAGAACTATATGGATGAAAGGGTATCACCTGTTTCATATCACCAAATGCACCACCATTGGTTTCTTCTGTATGTAAATGGCTTTCACTAAATCTGGGGGGGGAAGAACGTACGATGCAACACTTCTGGCAATTACTGATGTGATGGCAAAACACAGTCTCCAGTCAAGACACTGGGCAGCTTGCTCCTCACTACGCCAGAAAATCTTACAACATGAGGTCTTTCAGCTATGCATTTTGCAATTCCTTCCTAATGACTCAATAATGCCTGCTTCAAAGCAGGAATTTCCTCTACAAAGATCAAAAATTGTGTGTCTCAGGTTCTTCAGAGAACAGTGGACTGGGCACAGAAATATACAAGAACTTTGAAGAGTGACTCACCATTTCCCTCTTGGCTTTGTTGTCAATCCCACACAAGCAAAATGGAACCATTCAATGGAACACTAGGTAAGGGTTAAAAGAGCACAGAAAATCAAGTTAGTATTTCACTGGCCATTTATCATTATTAGTCTTGTAATATAGTTCTGATATTTACTCCCTTATAAGACCTCCTTGACTCCGTATTTTTTACCTTCTGAAATATCTGCTATAGCAATTGAATGAGGTGCTGGGCCTGTGACTGGGTCATGCAATCAACAACACAACCACCATATTGTCTAGTCATTGCTGCAGCCTCCACATTTGGAGATCTGTGTATATGGACCACAATACTGGCCTAAAATTTTGAATAATGGGAAAATATTTGGATGGATGGAAGCAGAGGGCTGTGAGAAGTATGAAACATCAATGAAAATAGATCCAGACACTTCCCGTTAACTTTTCACTCTTAGAACAGCAGCAGCCACAAAGAGGATCGAGTCCTGAGACCCTAGGCTCCTGTTCTAAGGGTGATGCAAAATTTGAAGGTTCACGGACAGATGCAATGCAGGGATATTGTTACAGAGGATTATGGGCTAGAAACAAGACTTTAAAACTCACAGTCAAGCATGCATTAGAGCAGCTTCAGACATTATAGCATTTGCATTCACAAACTATGCATACACTTTAGGTTACACATGCCTCAGTGTTTCAGGGAAGACACCTGCAGCTGTAAAATCCAAAGGAAGGATTAATAAGCTTTGAACATGCGATGAGTGGCCATAGGAGCTACAATTAATGAATGCTGCTTGATACAGTGTCCATCTGCTGCTTCCTAGGATGGCAGCGGTGCCAAATTTCATGTTCTACCATCCTGATTTCTGCAAGCATTCAACAAGGCATTCTACCTTCCCATATCTGCAACTGTTTGTGCTGTCTAAAGAAAGAAAGAGGAAAAATCCCTGGCCAATATGATTTGCACAGCTCCCTAATTCCCACCCGTTATTCCAAAGAGAGAAGCTCTTACATCTGGGTTGTCGCAACCAATCATCTCTCCATAGGAGACCTGGTGGCAGAGGCAGTAGGTGGGCTCATTCGGATCCACAGGCATATCCAGCACATCCGAAGGGTGCACATTTCCAAAGGTAACTGAAGGCATCCCGTACTCTGTGCTACTTCAAGGGGGAAAATATAGTTAGTAGGGTCACCAACAAAGAGCGATCCCTAATCCCAGTTGAAAACACTTCCCTCCAACTTTGATCTTGTCTTGACAGAACGACCTTGCCGGCCTGGCGCAAGGTTCCCTACCAGGATCTTGACCTCCCAAATCTGGCAGATCTTCTTGGCACAGCAATGACCATAAGCTGGATGGAACTAGATGAGGGTGAACAAGATGTCACCTTGGCCAAAATCAGATTATACCTATCAACAAAGATTAGGGGTGTGACCATTTCTTCCCAATTACTCACGTGCGGACCAATTTCAGCTTTTTCTGGGCTGTCTTTGGTGCTTCCTCGTCAGAGTTTTTCCCCTTGGAGCGAGCACGGGCAGCTTTCTTCTCTTTCTGGGCCCGACCTTCTGCGGGCAGAACACAGAAAGAAAGAGGGTAGCAAGTAAACTACCTCTCTACAGGATTTATGGAGCTTGTGTGGATGACTAGCACACCTGTACATTATACTGTACAGCCCCTTTAACCCTCTATAGAGGAAATAATCAGGGGCTCTATAGGTATTTATCCTTCCTACCCCTGCCAAATATGCCAGAAACAGTTCATATCTGTGTTCCAGACTTTTGCAACCTGTAGAAATTCAGGCAAGAGAACCTTGATCTGACAGTTTGTTTTACACAGGGTCTGGGACAAAGAAACCTGCTGGGCTTGTTTATGGCTCTAAGTCCAGCATCCCTGTTTCTCCCAGTAGCGGGCCTCTTTGCTAACATTATTGTTCAGCAGCTAATACTAAATGCTACTTCTATCACAAAGTTAATACTGCATTTTGTCTGGTACTTCTTTTTTTGTCCATTCAGAACTTACTTCTAAAGTTTCACTTGACTTTGGCAAGTCAAAAATTACAACACGGGGAAAAATGCTCATTTTTACAGATCATAATTTTCATAAACCTGTAGTATGTTTCTATCTGCAGGTGGTGTTTTGACTCACTGAAATACTCCACAGAGAAGTTACTTTAACTCCCAATTATCCTGATTTCCTCTTTTCTGTACACTTTCTAGATACAGAATATCATCTTTGGGAAAGGCAGGTGGATATCTATATAGGATCATGGCACCATCAATTCCTTCAAACATTATAACATTGGCCATTTTAATATGGATTCATACAGGCATAATATCAGTAATTTTATTTCAACTGTTAACAACTCATAACTTGGAGGTTTGCTACCTGTGTATACACTAAATGGGGTCAGAAAGAAGCAAATCTTGGGGCCAGAGTGGATAACAAAAAAACTACATAACAGTTAACAAAAACACTATGGTCCCAAGGTCTACTTTTTTCTGATGCCCCTTAAGTGTACACACAAGTAGAATACCATCTCAACTTTCACCCTCTCCTAACTGGGGTCAAAGAAGTCCTCAATAGCTGGTCTAAATTAAGAATATTATCGTTTGGATGGACAGTAGCAAATAAGCATATTATACTACCAAAAACTAAGCATTGGAAACTATACCAATTTATATATAGGACAAAATATTTTTACAATGGCAAAGAATACTTAAACAATTTGATTCAACTGGGGCAAATGTTTGAGCACTTCTAAGGCAGCTAAGTACAGATCAATGATATTAAGAGGCTTTGGGAGTCCTTGTATTAAAACTTACCACAGTGTATTTCAACTAAAACAACTGATCTGAATCATTTTGGGAGATGGAACAATATATACCTGATTACCTCCTGAGAAATCCATCTTAAACGTTGATGAAGTATGGGGGGGCACTCCTGTTTCGTGAGACCAATCAAAAAATTGTTTCCAAAATTCCCAACCCTCTTTAAGAAACACATTTGTAATATGGCTAAAATGGATTAAATGGTTACCGTATTTTTCGCTCCATAAGACGCACCTTTCCATAAGACGCACCAATTTTTTAGGAGAAGAAAACAGGAAAATATAATCTGTTTTCTTCGCTCCATAAGACGCACAGACTTTCCACCCCCCTGTTTTGTGGGGGGAAAGTGTGTCTTATGGTGCGAAAAATACGGTAATTCCCGTCCCCTTTCTGTTGACCCCTTCTCACCTGCTCTCTCTTTTTGGACAAGGACAAATGTGTTCAATTTAAAGAATGGAAAGGTAAAGGTCTTTATTGGTTGCATAATCTTTTTATTAATAAAACTCCAAAAACAATGAACAAATAATGAACCATCTAGAAGGGGTGAAACATTCTTGGTTCCAAACAGCTCAGGTGACATAGTTTACAGCGCTACCAACCATCCAGAGACAGGTGTGTAGACACATTCTTCCCTTTAAAGTTTGCATAAAACCCAGCACTTGAGAAGAAGGTAAGTTTAGCATTGCAACTGAAATGTTCGTATTTTGATACAAAGAGGGGTTAAAATGACTTGAGAAAGTGATCTGGAAACCATAATGACATCTCTGAATCAATATGGAAGAAATCAATACTTATATCAATCAAGCTAAGGGAATGTTGTTTCAAACTAATACTCAGGTGGCATCTGATACCTAGGAGATTAAATCAAATTAATATAATAATCTCAAGTACTGGAGAGGGTGTCTGGGTCATGTGGTGATTATGTTCCAAAGTTCAAAATTTTCTGAACTCAATTTTTTTCCCCGAGATGGGGAAAATTACAAATCAAAACATCCAGTTAGGCCCCTTTCTTAGTTTGCTGACACAGTTTCAAGGGGAAAACACAAATGTTTTGCATAAACAGCTGACATTAATTTTCTGCTTAGGTGACAGAACATTAGTTCTTGCAACCCACTGGAAGGGCATGAAAGGTATTTCGCTCTCCCACTGGTATGCCAAAATCTAGCATAAAGGACTTATGGGAAATCTAACTGTTCATGTCCAGGCTGTACGAGGACACAGCAATGGCAAACTGTTTTACAACACCGGGTCCTCATTTCTAAACTTTGCAAACTCAAAAGATGATGACACTTGTGCTCCATATGCAATATGGAAAGACTTACTCAACCAGTCACAATGAATTGACCTTCTCTGCAATTCTTTAATTCATCCTGTGAGGTGTTTTTTTTTTTCATGAACTGGATGTTATGTGCTTTGATAGTAATAATTAATAATAAAAAAGGGGGGAAGTATATACTGTATGCTGGTAGGATTTTTTGTCCCTCGTATGCATCACTTTACACTAAATGTCACAAGCCATTCACTGATAGATTATAAAGAGATCTCAGAATGTAAAGAGATCAAGAAGACTACCAGCCCTCAATGTTATCTACTCACCTATCTTACCAGTTCCCTCTTACTAAATCAAGATAATTTATGAACAACTGACATTACCAGTGGTCCCAATGCAGGGAACACGTTGTGTACTTTGTCCCTTCTTGACACTTTCCATTTATTCCTACCCTCTTCTATATTCAGTTACTTGGCAAAAGACAATGCAGTAACTATTGTGCTATCTCCTGGTTGTTGTTTTCTCAAGTACCTTTAGTGAGACATTGTTGCAAATGTCTTCTGAATATCATAGTATCAACTGGTAATCCCTCTCTACAGGCTTGCTACATTATTCTCTTTAATTTGGATTGCTTATCTTATCCGAATCTTCTTGCTTCTGCTCTCACTACTACTGGTGCAAGAGTGCTTCCCAAGCTACTGCCCCTGATGTTTTCAGACTACAAATCCCAGAAGCTCTAGCTAGCATATCCAGGGCTTCGGGGAGGTATACTCCAATAAGGTCTGAGGCCTCAAGTTTGGAACAGTCACTCATGCACTGGTAACAACCAGACTGGACTACTGCAATGCGCGATACGTGGGGCAGCCTTTGAAGACGGTCCAGCAGAACCGGGCTGCGCGGCTGGTAAGTGGTACCGCTGCACGGACTCATATTACGCTGGTTCTGAAAAAGTTACACTGGCTGCCGGTTGCTGCTCGGGCACAATTCAAAGTGCTTACTTTGACATATAAAGCCCTAAATGGCTTAGGACCTGGTTACCTAAAGGACCACCTTCTTCCATATGAGCCTGCCCATACTCTAAGATGAGGCCAGGAGGCCCTTCTGAAGGTGCCATCCCTGAAAGAGGTGAGGGGGAAATAGGACCTTCTTGGCTGTTGCCCCCCAACTTTGGAATGCCCTCCCTACAGAGATCCACCTGGCTCCAAAACTTTTGAACTTTTGGCGCCAGGCAAAGACCTTTCTGTTTAGCCAAGATTTTAATTAAACAGTATTCTCTAGTTCACTGGTTCTTAACCTTGGGTTACTCAGGAGTTTTGGACTGCAACTCCCAGAAGCCTTCACCACCAGCTGTCCTGACTGGGGTTTCTGGGAGTTGCAGTTCAAAAGCATCCGAGTAACAAAGGTTAAGAACCACTGCTCTAGTTAGCCACATGAGCAGCAGGACTTATTAATATTAATGTTTTAAGAATTGTTTTAATATAGGATATTTTATATTGTCTATTTTAATGTTTTTAAGTTTTAATATTGTTGTACGCTGCCCAGAAGCCACTGGTAATGGTGCGGGTAAAAATATTGTAAATAAATAAATAGTTGCACATCTAGAGAGAGATCTGACATGGTACCGTATTAGTTTTTTAAAATATATTTTGTTTCTTTGCATATATCCGTGGGTGGTCACCCTTATAAAACAGTCAAATTCCAAGGACATATAACTGAAGTCTATTGTTTTTCCCACTAAGTTACAGTAGCTATGCAGCTGTGGTACAAGACTTTAAAAAGACTTTTCGAATTTTTAAAAATTGCCTGTTCCCATTTGCTTTGATGACAACATAAACTCAACCTCTGTACAGGTATCAAATTTATGTGACCAGCACACAGAGTCTCATTCTATAAGATTAGTATTCACTATATGTCTGTGTTCTATTAAATATTGTGTTAAAGGTGGACCATCTTTTTTCTTTACATATGTTCTACTAAGTTAGTTCTAATTATTATATTTATTGCCTCATTATTTTTTCTACAATTGATACACTACTCCACATGAAAAAGATTACACAACATAGTTAAATATTAATACTCCGCTCAGTTTTTTTTTCCTAATAAGGGAAGTGTTTTTTCCAGAAAAGCAATCTGTTGTGAGTTTAGATCAACCTCCAGAGCGACTTTCCTTCTTATCTGTTCTTTAAGAAAAATATATATTCCTTTGGGGTCATTAAAGCTTTATTTGATCTCAAAGTCAATTTTTTTTTACTCAAACAATTAGAATTACTGTTGATTTAAAACTGTCTGGAGAAGTAATAACCCCTTTCCCCCGATAATAAATTATCTGTTTTTCTGTCTATCCATTATAGCAGTCCTATATACTATCTTCTAACTACATTTTGGCTTTGATTGACTTGCGTTCCTAAAATCTTTTACATTAAATGAAAATATATCATAACCATATCTTTTAAAAATAAGCTCTATTTTTTAATCTTTCTTTTATCTTGCATTAGTCTCTGTTCCATTCCTTTTCATCTTACAGGTTACTACTCTGTTTTATTTACTTAAATTGCTTCCCCATTCCTTAAGTTATACCAACACGATTACTAGTATTACAATACTAGTAATACAGGGATATGCATATGTCACTAATTATTATTACTGTATCAGGTTTCCCATCTGTTCTTTTGCTTTCCCAGTGCCAAATACATCAGTTTTGGTCCCATTAACTGGGATTTATAGGTATGCACTACCACAGATGCAATTTTATTTGTATGGTCTCTTTAAACAGCTATAACGTATTTCTTTCTCTTGCCAATTTCAACGTCTATAATTGATAATGTGAAATATTACACATTTATTCCAAACCACATACTTTCATGCTTCTATTAAATCTTTACTTCAAAACCAAATTTTATATTTGCTGTGGAATCTTTCTAATGGGCTTCAGGTACAGTGAAATATTTTTGGATACATAGATAGGAAACTTAGAGATAGTTAATAATGGTGATACCACAGCATTCAGAGAACACAAAACTCTGTACCACCCTTATGCAGAGTACATTTCACCTTTCATGGACTGACCTCAGTACAGCACAGTAGGTCCCCCACACCTTTTACCACACAACAGTTAAATTAAACAACTGGAAAATGTGTGTGTGAGAGAGTGTGTGTGTGTACTTCAAATGAGTGTCTTGTGTGCAGGATATCTAACCCAGAGTCACCACTGGTCCTCGGCTTAAGACATGGCCTGAGTATCCAACTTGTCAACAGCAAAGTCTGGCTCTGCATGGGTGTTGTAGAAGGTGTCAACTTAAAAGAGACATTTTTGTAATGTAAAGAAATTTGAATCCAGACTCTATAGCGTTATTTCAACCACACACCACATTCCCTTCTGGAGCTCCAATTGATAACATTTGCTCAGTCACACATCAGGATGACAAACTTGCCAAAGAACTCCTTTTGATCTACACTAAAGAGTTAAAAAAAAAGTAGGCCCGATGGCTACATATATACAAAGAACTCCTTTTGATCTACACTAAAGACTGAAATCCTATTGTGACAAATAATGGCCCTCTCAAACCTTCACTAGTCCATTTCAGCCTCTCCCATTGCTACAGAAATGAGAACTCACTCTTTTTGCCTTTACTAGACGAGCTGTCATAATCACTTGATTCAATCTGTTTCTCTTTTAAGTCAGCTTCAAACCTGGCAAGATCTGTATCCAGCCGCCGTATGTGCTTATCCACCTACAAACACAACAGAGAATAAAATAATTATTTGAGTTAAGATGCCTCAATGATGTTGAAGGCAACAAGCTGGGGGGGGGGACCCACGGTTTCTACAAAGGCACAGTGACTGAAATAAATAAATTTTTAAAAGCCTGCCAGAGCAGGAAGACTACAGCTAGGCCAAGGGTAAGAGTTTCATGTCACTTAAAGATTCTTTCGCAAATGGAAAATACAGCCCATAAGAAACCACCTCATCATCCCGAAAGACCCCTCCTTGCACTCATACCATTTCATATGTCTGCATAGCCAGCTGCACTTTGTCATCCCCAAACTCCTTGCATTTTCCATAGGCCTCCTGGATTTGCTTAAGGAGACCCAGCTTCTCCTCTGAAGACAGTGTCCGTGCATTGCTGATATACTCGGTGGCTAATTTATCAATTTCTGATTTAAGATCTGAAATAAAAGATAGAGCAAAGTGTTAGGTCCAGACTTCAGGGCCACAACACCAGAGCCTAATTAGAAAGCAACATGAAGACCAGACACGTTATTTTACACAGCATGTAAAGAAGAAAACACAGTCAATCAAATAAACCAAATCACTGCTTTTGGTACTTCCTCCAATTCACCTTCTGTTCGCTGGTCGAGATCTCGCATAAGCTGAAAATTTCTCTGTAGTTCAAATGGCAAATTCTCAATACCTAGGGGAAAAAAGGTAGACCACAAGAGAGAAATGACTGGCAAGCTGGGATCCTACCTGTGCTATTTTCTTTTCAGGAATTTAATTCATACTATTTTCCTATATAATCAATGTGAATTGTGAACAATTACCATGTTTCCCCCCCCAAAAAAGACAGGGTCTTATATTAATTTTTTCTCCAAAAATGCATTAGGGCTTATTTTTCAAGGGATGTTTTATTTTACATTCATGTCATATTCTGGTTACCGCACAATGCTCCACAATGGTGGAGGGTGGGGTTTCACTTAACTGGAGCTTATTTTTGGGGTAGGGTTTATATTATAAGCATCCTGAAAAATCATACTAGGGTCTATTTTCAGGTTAGGTCTTTTGGAGAAACAGGGCAGTGATAATTTTACATCATTTAAATTCAAATGGCTGTGTGATGAAAGACAGGTAGGGCCACTCCACACATTTTATGACAGAAAAACTGGGTTCTCCATCAAACATAGCCTCCAAAAGGCTAATCTAGACATACATCTGAATTTCCTTTGATTATATTTTACAGTGACATCTGAAGCATTGCTTGCATGCACCCAAACTGCCTGTTTCAATTGCTACTATCTTGAATGCACACACAACCTCTGTCATCAATAAAGCACAAGATTTTGTTTTTAAAGGCAAATAACCCACCACATATGCCCACCAGCACTGCATTGTTTTGCAACATTTTAATTAGACGCAAGCCAAACTGCAGGTATGAAGGAGGCAGAAAGTTCTGCAAGCATTTTAGCATCTCCGGAAAGTTTTACCATTTTAAGAAATAAGTTTTATTAAAGACAATATCCAGCAATTTTCTATCAGTCACCTCTATTTTCATCACAGAATACTGGTTCCAAGGACATGCAGGGCGCGTGTCTGATAAACTAGATGGCCATTAATGGAGAAATGTCTCGTTTAACACTCTTAAGGGTTTTTTAAAGACATAAATATTTCTATCTGAAGGATACACATTAAAAAAAATGGAAGGTGGGGATGTAACGCACAGGTTTGACTCTGCTATGCGAACAACCGTGTCAAACTCGGGTTTGATGCTGGAGAACGTGTGAAACGGCCTAAGCATGAAAATACGCCTTCTCCTCTCCTCAACCGCCCCACGCCGACACCAGACAGAGGCGAAACTTGGCTTCCAGCGTTTCTCTTCTGAAATCCGGCAGCCCTCGCTTCCTCAAGCCTCACCCCGCCCAAATCCCGCGCCCGGTCTTACTATCTAGGTAGTGTTCCAGGTACATCCCCGCCGCCATCTTGGGTTTCAGCCAAAGGCACCGATTCTTTCCCACCTACCCCCCTCCCCCATTCCGGCATCACTTCCGCCCTTAATTAGAGCCACTTCCTACTTGCGGCCGGCTGAGGCGCCGTCGCGCGGCTTTCCAGCTCGTTTTCTGGCTGCCCGGGAGGGAGACCTTTTTTTTGTGGCACGGGGTTGGTGGTGGTGGTGTGAGATGGAGGGCGAAACAAAAGGCCATCCGAGGGTTTCTCATTCCCCTGACTTGTAGAAGACAGAGACGCGAAATCTCCGAAAATTTCCATTTTCTTCCCAGGGGAAAAAAACCGGGAAAACACTTCTTTGCCTTTGGAAAATGAAAATGTTATATCTCTAGAAAGAACATAAAGTCTCAGAAGTCTTTCATTAAGGTCTTCATGTTCTATAATTTGAATACTACGTCACAGACATATTATTCATCATTTTAAAAGAACATATTCCATGCTCCGTTCCCCCCCACCCCCCAATTTTGGAAAATGGGGGAGGGGAAACGGAGCATGGAATGCGTTATTTTAAAATGATAAATAATATGTCTGTGACATAGTATTCAAACCGGCTTTGGAAAAAAATAGGGGGAAAAACTTTCCCCCCAATTGTCTGGGTTTTTTTTCCCCAGGCCTTCCCATCTCTAGAAGATGCAAGACCTTTTTAAAAAAGAAAATAAAAGGTATAAGTGTGACTTTGTGTGAGTTCAGAAGTGCTCAGTCCTTTTATTGTTTTTCTTTTACACAGGAAGAAGCATTTTGCGTGTGTGGGATCATCTTTGTGAAAACAGAAAAGACCGTGTGTGGAGTTCAGCTTAAGTGGGATCATCTTTGTGAAAACAGAAAAGATCATTGCAAAACTAGTTTGAAAGTGGTTGTGTTTAAAGTTGTATATTTATGTGGATATTATTTTGGGTTGAGTTCAGCTTCAGTGTCAAAATAACCTTTTGTCTTCAGATCATAGGGTCTGGAATGACTCCTGTAAGTGAATGCTTGCTTGGAATATCTTGGAATGTATTTGAACCATCGTCACACATGATGTAGAAGTTTTCTGCTGAGGTGCAAGGGAGCCACTGTCAATCATAATAGGCAATACTGGACTAGATAAGCAAATAGATAAATTTGCTTTCAAAGAGCCTCCAGTGTTTGTACATAGCACCATGTGGCAGTTCAGATTCATTTCCTTTTAAAACTCCGCTTCTTTCTGAAGTATCTCTCTAGTGCAGGGAAGGGAGCATAATCTCACATCACCCATCCCACCTCCTCTTCAGAATTCATACTGTAGTGTGCTGCATTAAAGTCGATGAAATGTTAATTGGAGATTTCCAAGCCCATTTTCCCTGTCTCTATACCACTCTAATTGTCAAACAAGATAGCCACTGAGAGTAGTCACATTTGACTTGTGTTGTATGTCTAATTATGCGTTGTCAAGTCAGGACTAATTTATAACAAGTCTAATAGGGCTTTCAAGGTAAAGAAGGTATTATAAGGAGTGGCTTTATCAGCTCCACTACCTCAGCGGGTTTCCTTGGCCAAGTGAGGATTCGAACCCTGTTCTCTAGAGTCCTAGTCCATTGCTCTATTTCACCACACTGACTACCCTGCATGACTTATCAGTATTTTAAACAAAACATTCAGAATTATAACACTTCTTTTTCCTGTCTGCTAACTTCTTGTTTTGTTATCACCTTAGATAGTAACTTGTACTGTATTTTAATGCTAGACATCAGGATGAGCAATTCGTAAGTTATTTAATTCAAACTTAAATGACTAGCTTCTGGCTAACAACAGCAACTAGTTGGTTTCATTAATTAGAATGGTGGCGCTGTGGGCTAAACCGCAGAAGCCTGTGCTGCAGGGTCAGAAGATCCGGCAGTCGTAAGATCGAATCCACGCAACGGAATGAGCCCCCGTCGCTTGTCCCAGCTCCCGCCAACCTAGCGGTTCGAAAGCATACAAATGCGAGTAGATAAATAGGGACCACCTCGGTGGGAAGGCAAACAGCGTTCTGTGTCTAAATCACACTGGCCATGTGACCACGGAAAGATTGTCTTCGGACAAAACACTGGCTCTATGGCTTGAAGAGCGGGATGAGCGCCGCCCCCTAGAGTCGAACACGACTGGACAAAAAATTGTCAAGGGGAACCTTTACCTAATCTCTTTGCACTAGAATCATATACTATTGATCGTAGGTCAGTTGGTGTAGAGCCTCAGAGACCCAAAGTGCCTTCAAACAGCAATATAAAACCGCTTCCTTGGACGCAATCTCCCATGAAGCGACTCTGACTTCTGAGCTCTAATCCAGCACTCTGTCTGCTATACTACACTTGAGTCACTCACTAGTATAACTAGCATAGCGTCCCCCAAAGAATCCTGGGATTGGGGATTTGGTAAGAATGCTTTGTACAACTGCAATTCCTATGGCTGCCTGAGTGAGAGGAAATGACTGCTAAACTAGTGTAAGGTGCAAATACAGAACCAGATACATTCTAGATATGACACTGATTAATTCACATTAATGTCACATATTTCATACTTCCCCTCAAATCACAATCTCATCTATTATTTCCCATTGCATTGGCAGTGTTTAAGCTGTCTGTAAATGGGAATCTGCAAGGGGTTTGGTATGGTTGGTGGTGATCAGAAGCAAAAGTAGATGCCAGCTGAGAAGAAAGTGCAGAATATTGGAAAACAAGAGGCAGCAGTGTTTCTTGCAGTCTCTACCTCAATGTGACATGAAAAGCTTCCCTAAAGGGTAAAAAAGGAAGAAATTAAAGAGCACATGTGTGTTTATGTATATTATTTATGGCAGTGGGTCTCAATCTTGGGTAACCCAGATGTTCTTGGACAGCAATTCCCAGAAACCTTGACCACCAGCTTTGATGGCTGGAGTTGCCCGAGATTGAGACCCACTGATTTATGGCACTGGACCCACTTACAAAAGAATTAAACAATGTAGTCATTGAGGATTCTTGTGATTTAAAATTTCATTTTCAAATAATACTGTTTTTCTGTAAATATTTTTATTTAAAATACATGAGCAATACTAAGCACAGTATGAAACAGCAGTATCTGAAGAAAATCAGCTTGCATGTGGAGGTTAAGACAAGAGACACAGCAAGAACAAGAGGCTAAATACATCCCACCATAGGCAGGAACGGATTTCCTGAAAACATTTATCCACTGAGAAATAAATTAGAGGCTCCAGTACAGGCAAGGTTCTTTTCACATACCCATGCATGAATAAGAAGACATTCATGTAGACCAAGGTCTCCAGAACACCTGAGACCCTGTTTTGCTGAGGACCACAGAAGGAACAGACCTTCCAGAACAGTGAAGGGTGGCAGAAGTCAGGTGTTTCCCACTCCAGATGGAAATACTTCCCAGGTTAGGTGCTGGCAGAGGGATTGCCAGGGTGGTGGTCTCACAAATGGAGCTGGATGCAGAGGCCAGTTGATTCGGAGTCTCCTGATACTGCTGTCTGTCTGAGATGAAGGCCGCTTGAACAAGAGAGGGACAATATCAATAGCTTGCCTGAAACCCCTGCACCCTAACACTGTGTGAAGAGGTTAGCTTTAAGGAGGAGAAAGCTGGCATGCATTTATCCAATATCACAGACCTGTGTCGGGAGGCAAAACCTGTGTGTGTGCTGTAATTTCTAAACTGGTAGCATAACACTGGCAGCTGCAGATCTGATTCAAAGCAAAATACACTGACAGTTAACAGTACTGGCCACCCTGGGGAGAATCAGCCATGCAAGTGAGGGGAAGTGCATTGGTTTAATGGCAATTCTTTTGAAAAGGCATACAGTATAATGTAATATGCAACTAAATTTCCGGAGCACTATCTGTGCTGGCTGGGCTTCTGTGAATTGTAGTCCAAGAACATTGGGTCTCCATATTTAAATATGTCAATATGTAAATTGATTTAAATATGTAAATCGTTCTTACATATGCCTAACTCACCTGCTAACTGCAACGTTTGGATCCGCTTTACAGTCATTTCCAAAAGAGCTGCCTTGTCCATGCGAGAATTAGAAAGAGCCTTAGAGGTGGGGAAAAGGATTATTTCAGATAATTGGAGAGGAGTGCATGGGAGTAGAGAGAGAGAAGCCACAGCAGCAGGAAATCATTTCACTGAAGAAGGACAACAGATAATACCAAGTTTGAAATTACTGTGAGCCTAGGCTGCATTTCCACTGCAAATTTGAAGCACTTTAATATTTCTCATGTTGCAAATCCTCTACATGGGTACCAAGGAAACTGCAGCTCTACAAAGATGCTAAGAATCCCTGAGAAGAAAACAGGCGAAACCCAATTAAGTTTTTCAGCTGATCAAAAATATCTCCATTAATGGAATGTAGATGGGGGCCATGAGTCCTCTCTACCCCCTTAAAAACTAAACCAGATGGTGAGAGAACTGCAGAGGGAGAAGGAGAATATTCTGTTGTATATGCGGAGTTTCATTCATCCACGGAACTTCAGCCCCGGGATTCTTTGCAGGAAGTCACAGAGGTTAATCCAAGTTAGCACATTTAGCCCAGAACTTTCAAGAATAAACAAAACAGGGGTGTATTCCACCCAGACACAGTAAATAATTGGGCACTGCTGACAGTTCTCAGGTGTACAGTAAGTGGCAGACAGCAATGGCAGAGCTTGTTTCCAAGCTGTGGAACAAGTGACCAAGTATAAGTTGCTGTTCTAGAAAGAGTGACTGGAGGAGGAACTGTATGTACAGCCTTTCCTTCTGCAGTTGTGGTGCCAGGAAGAGCCACATTGGATCTAGCTGTTGGTTATTTGCCCCTTTCAGTTCTTCTTAGAATTCAGAAACAGAGATTGCAGCATGTGTGGAAATGATACATGTTTAGAAGACCTACAGGAAACAAGCTGACTGGGCTGCTAATCAAAATCAGATTATTATGTTCCTTCCTCCCAAATGGTAGCCAAAACGCTGAGAGGAAGAAGCCAAGTGGCGGAAGAACCTTCCTGCCTTCCTTATGTATTTATCTCCCAAATATTTAAAGGGTTAGAGGCATCTGTGTCTGTCTCAGTCTCTCTGTGCATGCACGCACCTCCACCTGTGAGGGTACATCTCTCTGTCTCAACAGAAAGACCTAGGAGGCGTTTCTGGGTCTCTTTTTCTGTCCAGGAATAAGCACATCTCTCTGTGTTTCTCTGCCTCTGTGCATGGGCAAGTGAGCCTCAATCTCTCTGGTGTTTTGTGTTTCATGTTTCTTTGTGACTATGTGCGCATCTTCCCATTTTTCTGTATGATTATGCGTGCAAATATATCCCTCTTTCTGCGTGAAGCATCTTCCATCTGCCATGCCTATGAGTATGTCTCTGTGTGCATCTCTAAGTCTCTTGGTCTCAGTGCCTGCATTTCCCTTTTTATGTCCATGTTTTCATTTGTGTGTGAGTCTCCCCCTCTGTTCTTGTGCGTTCATGCACACACATGTGTTCATGTGGGCCTATCTGTCCTGTTCTTCTGCTACAGGTCTCATAGCTCATTAAATTTCAACCAACAGTGTCCCTTGTGGGCACAAGTGGACAGGGAGGTACAGAAGCTGCTGTGATGCATTCTGGGAGTTGTAGTCTTGTACCCTTTAGTCTCTATTGATGGAACCTTCCTAAGAACTGTGATGTCCGGGAAGCACTTACTTTTCTGTACATTAACAAGTTAGTATTTTTTTTTAAAAAAATTATTTATATGCTGCCTTTCTCCCGATAAAGCAAAACAATAAATAAAAGCAACGTGTGGCCTTACCTTGTTGCCTGGATTGGACCCATCTAGCAATAGAGCCTTTAGCTGATTGAGAGAATGAGCAATTCGGTTCCTTCGTTTCTTCTCCATTAGTGGTTTGATGATCTGTGTGTGAGGAATTTTTGCATTAGTAGAGGAACTACCGTTTGTCAAGCTGGACAAGGATAATGGGGAGGGGGAGAGAAAGGGGAGCAATCAGCTGGACTCATGCACAACATTTTAGTCTGTTGATCCAAAAATCCAATTATTCCCTCCCCTGCCACTAATCAACATGGGGCACAATCCAGAAAGAGTTCTCCTGAGCAATGCAGAGAGAGAGAGAGAGAGCTAGAGCTATGCACAATCCCTGCCTTTCTCTTGTTTGACTCAGGCGTATTGCAACAGGGGTTGTGCAGGAGAACCTCCCACAGGGGTTCCTTTTGGCCCATCTGTCTGTCTCCTATTTATCCTTAACAGTACCCCCAAACCCACCACCTCAAGCGGCTGCATCACGGTAGGACTACCTCTAGAAGCTGTGATTGTTCCAGTCTTCACCTCTACTCCCTCCCAACACTTTTTTGCTTGTTAAGGGGAGAAAACCTGCCTTTTTGTAGACCAGACGCTTTGGCTGCTCCAGGCTTGGCTTCCTCCAGTTGCAACCCTGTGTCCTTATCAGCTGAGTTTTGCTGCTTGTTCTCGCAAGGCTCATTGTCCTGTTTCTCCAAAATTATTTTCAAATTTCCCTCCTTCTCTCCTTTTCATTTATAGGATACCTCTGAACACAGCTGTCATCTTGCGTGCAAATCACATTTCTTCCTCTTCTTTCCCCCCACAGTGGCAGCCAATAAAGAGCGAAAGGATTCTCTTTACATTTCGGAAGGAGGAGTGTAGTGGCAGGAAGGAGGTTGCCTTGGACACCCATAAACAGTGGGGGAGACAGGCCAGAGGGCATGTTTGAAAAGGATGGAGGGTTATATCAGGCTAGCCAGCTGCTCCTTTATGGATGGGGGATAAAGAAGCTAAGAAAGCATGAAGAGGGGTGAATAGAAAGAGAGGGACAGGGAAGAGGAAGCCATTGAGATGGAAATTAGAGCAACAGACGGGGTGTGTATGTGTGTCTTTGGAGGGGAGGGTCTGTGTTGTATCTGTGCTCAGGGTGAGATGAAGAATTTCAAATGCCAGCATAGCTCTGTTGAAGCAGAACAATCAGGCCCTCCATGTAGCTTCCTAGGGTTGCCGGGGTAACATCAGGGAGCCCCCATCTCTTCAGCAGGATGATTTGTGAAATGAATTGGAACTAGACAAGCACTTAGAGACCCATTCTTTTTGCTAAATAGTGGGAAACACAAAGTAGAGCAAACTGGACTGTTGCACACATAGCATAAAACATCTCATATAAGCGTCTTAGGGAACAACTCCAGTGGAGGACATAAAAGATGTGCTCTCAAGTAGAATAGAAACAGTGGTGGATTAGAGAGACAATTTGACTCAGTATAAAGAAACCTTGCATCATATTCCCAGTATGTAGATGTGCATACACTTTAATGTCTGAAATAAAGGATCACTTGGGAACAAAACAGAGCTGTAGATGAATGTGAGGAAGACAGTGAAAGGATGTGAGCAGGGGTCGATTCCATAAGAGGAAAGCGGGGGGGGGGGAACCAGTTGGGCAGGCTGTTTGGGAGACAAGTATACGCATGTCCAGGATACCCAGTGTGATGTAGTGGATAGAGTGACAGACTAGGACTCGGGAGGCCTGGGTTCAAATCTCTATTCAGCCATGGAAGCTCACTATGGGTGTGGAACTTGCAAAACCACTCCTTAAATACCTCACTTACCTTAAAAGCCCTATTAGTGTTTCTATAAGTCAGGACAACTTGACAGCACATAACAACATATGCATGTCTGGGAGGAAATAAGGCCTTGGGGAGTTCTGCATTGCCCACATTCACAAAAGCATCACCAGCATTATTTCAGTTTCTCCAGTTCTTCCGTGTGTGTGCGTGTGCGCACGCGCACACATGTGTGCATGTGTGCACATGCGTGCACGTGCAATACACAGAACAACTATTGTGTTTGTGGGAGTGGAGAAAGCGGTTGCCTTCTGCAAAAAAAGCTTCTGCCCCCCTGTTGGTTTATTGTTGTGAAGGAAGGGACCCGTCCTTCCCTTCCCAACTGCCTGACCCAGGCATTCTCCAAGACAATTGGGCTCTTTGCCAGCTGCTGCCTGTGCCAGGTGTGCCAAGGTATCCAAATGGTAAGAAAGGAAAGCCAGCAGCTTATGGCTGTGGGCTGCTGCCCCCGCCTGACCTTCTGGTCTCAGGACAGAGGACTTGGCCTTCAGAGGCATCCATTGGGCAGACAGTTCCTGGAAGCGTAGGCATGCATCGACAAGAGAGCTTCAACGATGAAGGTCTGTATCCTGTGCCCCCACCCCACCCCCCCGGATCCAGAACACCCAGAGCAGTCTCTCATTTTACTTCTCTTTTAATTATCTTGTGAGCCTGCTTTGGTCCCAGTCTTGGAAAAAAGGCATGAGAGAAATTAAAACAATAAAACGCATCAATAAATAATGTGCATCTATTGATGTTTGTGTTTTTAGAATGACTGCTGAAGGAAGTAATGGTTCCTGCACCAAGGTTCTTCTCTTCCAACATGACACATTACTAAAAAAAGTCTCTACCTGTTGGTCACTATAGTCATTTCTAATGTAATCTGGCTATCCCACACTAGCTTTTGAAACAGGTGTGTTAGTAAACTGTTAGTCTGCTGATAATTTGGGTCTTTTTCTTAGTACATTTACATTTTCATAGTTAATTTTTTTTTAATATTTTGTGTAAACCAGCCAGAGCAGACATGTTCTAGATGGGCGGTATGTAAGTTCAATAATAATAAAATAAATAAAATAAACTGATCATAACAGCCTTTAATCATATAACAACCATGTGCCGGCCAGTCAATTCTGACTTATGATGACCCTTTCCAGGGTTTTCCAGGTAGAGAATACTCAGGCTTCCCATTCCCTCTTTCTGGGGGTGTCCTGAGACTGTGCAGCTTGCCCAAAGCCACACTGCCTGGCTCTACACACAGGAGACACAGGGAGGAATCAAACTCCTAACCTCTGACTTGGCAGCCAGATACTACCTAATTTTTAAAACAGAATGTCTTGTCTGACCAGGGTCTTGTTGTTCTGTTTTGGAATGGCTGTAACACCAACATTAAATGTTACTGAATATTCAATAAATAGTTAAAAGGGAAGAAGAGGAGGACTTATTCCACTTACACACATAGGAACATAATAAAGGGTTGCCCAAAGCCTTTCCAGGGAATAAAATCAGGAGAGTGATTTACCAGAGGCAAGTGTGATCTGCGTTGTATCCAGCAGAGGACACTCTACTACCACAAGTGTGTAACCATTGATGTTCCAACTGGATACCCACCAAAATCTGTTTATAGCTTGTGAATTTTTTGGACTGGTGATTTCAGGCCTGGTGTTAAAGAATATTTTGAGCTCTTGGGATCACTTCTAAAGTGATCCCAGGAGCTGTTGACACTTCTAATGTGTCAACAGTTATACCTGTTCTGTATAATCCAGCCAAATTTTCAGCCCTACTGTACTTAGCACCCCCAATAAATCAAATGTGTTGTAGAAATGCTGAAGTTTGATTGACTTGTTAAGGCCATTTAGAATGGGTTAACCACATGACTTGATAGTTCAGTGAGTTAGGTCTCTGCCTGTGGATCCAGAGGTTGGCAGCTTGATTCCCCCCTTGATGCCTCCTGGGAGAAGAGCCAGCCTGTGTGGCCTCTGGCAAGCTGCACAGTCTCAGGGCACCCCCAAGAAGAAGGAAGTAGTAAACCAGTCCTGAATACTTTCTGCCTAAAAGTCAGAAATGACTGCCTAAAAGTCACCATATGTTAGAACTGATGTCTACAAGCAACCCACATCTCCTTTCTCCAATAAGTGTCTGCTAGCTAGGATTACTCAGTGATGAACAGAAGCACTTGGCATATGCTCATGATCAGTCTTTTAATTACCACTATTCAGCTAGAAACCTCTTCAAGAGTGGCGTCTTCCCTTGTGGGGGATTCCAAGGAAAGCTATTAGAAGACAGAGCAAGGAAAGAGATACAGTGGTGCCTCGCAAGATGAATGTAATTCGTTCCATGAGTAGCGCTGTCTTGTGGGAAAAAATCATCTTGCGAAAAGCAGCCATAGAAGAAGCCGTCTTGCGAGGCACCATAGCCATCGAAAAAACCGTTCGTCTTGAGGTTTTTTTGTCCCGCGAGGTGTTCGTCTTGCAAGGCACCACTGTATATGGAAGGAGAGAGAGGGCTAAAAAGAGAGGCATGATAACTACTGGGGGGGGGACTGAATGACAGGCAAAGAGGGGCTATGACATGAGAGTGAAATGTCAAGAAAGAGCAAAATATACAGTGGACCCTTGACTTACAGACGGCTTGACTTACAGACTTTTTGACTTGAGAACCGCCTTCCAATACGGATTAAGTTCTCAAGTCAAGACCCCACTGTATGGGAAAATAAGGACAGAAAGGGGGACCCCACCAGGAAGAAGGTTGTGTTGTCAGACCCTTACCAGAACTTTTTCAAGAACAAAGATTTACCAGCAAAGCCCATGTATTCAGCTGCCGGGGGGATGTCCAGGTTTGATGCCAGGAAGGATGTCATTTTAGGGTGTTAAAATGATTAAAGAAGGTGGTGGAAGAATGGGTAGAAGTATTTCATTCATTGTGTGCCAATTTTCGGGAGAAAGCATAAACAAGGGGGTGATGTGAAAAGGAAAAACAAAAATAATGAGAGTTCTGTTTAAAAAGTAACTTAAGTTGTGCTCGAGAGCATAGAGTATATAATAGTTGTTATCCAATAATGCCATCTATTAATGTTGGTATGAATTACTTTAAATCAGCACCCCTTGCTGATTGCAACCCCAGCTGGCAGTAGGTGTAGCTATGAGCTCATAGACTTGTCCACTCCCATAGTGACCCACTTCCTCTGCAGGATAAGATACAGAAACTGTTTGGGGTTTAGTGAGAACACAGAGTATATAGATGGAGAGAGGGTACACCCGGTCAGGAATGAACAGGCATTCATCGCAACTCCAGCCATGTTGGGCAGCAGGCATCAAAGAACAGCAGTCATCATCATGGATGAATTTTCTCCAGATTTTTGGCACAATGAGATCCTTTTCGCAATGTATTTCTGTGTGTCAAAATATGCTTAGAGGCTTCATAATGCATTTTATATTATATTTCCTCATGATAAGATTTTTAATACTTGTTCATATATTTTTAAGAAAGTATTTGCAGCTTTGAAGCTTGTGGTTTTGCGTTTTAAATAAAATGCTATAGAGACGTATTCTTGGTAGTTCAGTCTGCCTTTATAGGCTATAAGCACCTCTGTTTTTGAGAATGTAACTAGAAGCATTCTTTTTGGTATTTATTGTACTTTTGATCTTATCTTTGTACATAAGTATTTGCCCAAAGCATAAGTTCTGTTTTCATATATTTTTAAGTTACGTACCTACTGTTTTACATAACAGTAAGACTTTGGGATTTTAAGTATTTGTGCCTACAGTGTCTCACAGCTGTAAGGCTGACTTCAATAAATTTCATAGATCATGTCTGCTTCTTCAGACATATGGAATAAAATGAAAAACAAAAGGAAATGCTGAATTCACAAGTAAAACATTCAAAATGTTCATTGGCTTTAAGAGCCTTGGGTGTGTGGTTACATCTCACATGCTGTAATTTAAATAAAAAGTATTTAATTTTGCATTCCATT